AAAAGGTCAGAAAGTGTTCTGAGGGGGCTGGGGCTTTGGACCCAAATGCCAAGGGAACCAGCAAGGGCTGCGGTGGTTAAAGGTTGTAGTGGGGTTTGGTAGGGTAACTGTGTGGAGGGAGAGCTTTTGTTTTCATGGTGTATGAGGAGGTGTGCGGTATCTGTAAGTAACCACTCACTTTCATTAACAAGATTGGTATGAGAGACAGGAAGAGAGGTCTGGAGGAGAGTCTGCGGAGCAAGGGGAGTCAGAGGCAGGGAAAATGCCTACCTAGGCAGAACCTGCTATTGACATTTTTTTTTTTTTTTTTGAGACGGAGTTTCACTCATGTTACCCAGGCTGGAGTGCAATGGCCCGATCTCGGCTCACCGCAACCTCCGCCTCCTGGGTTCAGGCAATTCTCCTGCCTCAGCCTCCTGAGTAGCTGGGATTACAGGCACGCACCACCATGCCCAGCTAATTTTTTGTAGTTTTAGTAGAGACGGGGTTTCACCATGTTGACCAGGATGGTCTCGATCTCTTGACCTCGTGATCCACCCGCCTCGGCCTCCCAAAGTGCTGGGATTACAGGCTTGAGCCACCGCGCCCGGCCGCTATTGACATTTTTTAAGGCTGCTAGTAATAAGGGAGGGCTTTTCTGTAATGTGCAGTTCGTATGCTCCTATTTTTTGGTTAACGTGGGTAGCAGGGCTCTTGAAGTGAAGTGTGAAGGAACACAGAGGGCGGGAGATTTCCTAGGGGGATTCCAGTGGGTAATTGTCAGGAAATACATAAAGGAGCAGCGATAGAAATAGTTGTTTTTGTAGTTAGCGGTCTGAGATCGGGGGTGTTGAGTTGACATAGGCGGAAAGATTACTTAGGGAGGTGCGTAGAGGAGCAGCAGCCTATTGGGATGAGATATCTGGGGTGTCTCTGTCGACTGTCTAGGAGGTAGAGTTCTAGGGGTACAGGTGGGGGGTGTTGAAGGAAGTCTGGAGGTACAGAGACATGGGAGAGTTTGTCCAGTTGGTCAGTAGGGTGGGAACAGCTGTGTAGTGAGATGAGGAGAGGGAAGAGCATAGCCAGCAATCTAAGGAAGGGTTCAAGTTTGCTAGGATASAGTGGGTTAGGTTTATGGTGTGTTGGAGGTAATCAGGATAGAGTGGGTTAGGTTTATGGTGTGTTGGAGGTAATCAGGATAGAGTGGGTTAGGTTTATGGTGTGTTGGAGGTAATCAGGGAGAGGTAGGGGGTAGCAGGTGAAAGGGAGCGAGATTAAGAGTGAGTGTAAAAGAAAAGGACTTCATCAGGGTGGAAGAACTGGAGAGTTCCTTGCCGCTGAAGATCATCTAGCCACTCTAAGAGAGTTGAGGGTGGCAGCCTGGGGATAAAACCACAAAATATCGGCCATAATTGCCTGAAGGAAAAACGTAAACTGGCAGTGTAAACAAAAACAGGGCATTTAAGTTTCCTCGGAAATTCGAGTGAGCTTTAGAGAGGTTGGGGAGAGTACTTGCGGCTTCCAAGAGGAGGTGGAGGAGTCATGCTGGCTGATGGACACAGCTTCACCCTGGAGTGGTGAACCCACTGGGGAGGGTCTTGCAGGTGGACAGTGGTTGGGGTGCTGTAGACATCCAGAAAGGGTCCTGTCCACCGAGGTTGTAGAGACCGGGGCGGGGGTGGCGGTGGGGGGTAGGCTCTTTATCAGAACTGACTGTCCGGCTAGGGTATCTTCACATGACTGGATATCTGGAGTAGGTAAGAGAAGTTTAGCAGCCTGGCGAATTTCATGTCTGGTCTGCTGGAAGATTGGAAGGTAGTCACCGAGAGGACTGATGTCTGGAATAAGGTTGGGCCCAAGCAGGAAGGTGCGGCCATATAGGAGTTCAAAGGGGCTGTACCTTGTGGGTTCTGGAGGAGTGGCCAGAATTCTGAGATGAATAAGGAGTAGGAGAACTGTCCAGTCTTTCTTAAGTTGGTGACTGAGTTTGGTGAGATGTGTTTTTATAAGGCTGTTAGTTCTTTTTGCTTTTCCTGAGGACTGAGGATGGTATGGGGCATGGAGATTCCACTGGATGCCCAGGGCCTGTGAGATGCTTGGATGATCTGGCTAATGAAGGCCAGTCCATTGTCTGACTGTATGGAAGTAGGGAGATCGAAGCAAGGAATTATGTCTGACAGAAGGGAAGAAAAGGCTTCCACCCATCCTGTGAAAGTGTCAACCCAGACCAGGAGGTATTTGAACTTTCTGACACAGGGCATATGAGTAGTCTGCTAGTCCTGTGCAGGGGTGAACCCTCGAGCCTGATGTGTAGGAAAAGGAGGGGACTTTAAGGAGTAGTAGATTGGCAGATGGAACATTGAGAAGTGATTGCCTTGAGGATGGACTTCCACAATGGAAAGGAAATGAGGGGTTCTAAAAGACAAGCTAGTGGCTCGTACCCTACATGAAAGCGGTCATGAAAAGACCAGAGAATATGAGCTTTCGAGGCAAGGAGGAGAAATTTTCCGTGATCTAAGAACCACTTGCCTTGAGTAGGAAGTGATTGATAGGTTAAGGGTTTGATGGGAGAGTAGGTAGGAGTGACAGTTGAGAAGGAGAAATACTGACCATGAGGGGCAGGTATTGGAGTCTTAGCTGCTCTTTAGCTGTTTTATCAGCATAAGCATTTGATGGTTTTTGGTGTCCCTTGCAGTGAATGACTCCAGCCTTGGCTAGAAGTAAAGCAGCTTTAAGAAGAGTTTTTTTAATCAGGGCGACATTGTTAATAATGGAGGACACTTGTGTAGTGAGAAATCCTTTTTCTGCCCATAAAACAGCATGGTTTTCTGCCCATAAAACAGAAGGATGTGGAAGGCATGTTTAGAATCGGTGTAGATATTGACACGCAATCCTTTTGCAAGTGTGAGCACAGATTAAAGCAATAAGCTCAGCTTGTTGAGACGTGGTAGAAGGGGGAAGCATAGCAGCTTCAGTAACAGATGTGACAGACACTATTGCATAACCTGCTTTTGCTGGTGATGACCAGTTGGACTTTGAGGAACTGCCATGAATAAACCTTAGTGTGGTCTGAGTCTGGAATAGGAAAGAGAGGAATATGAGGCAATGGGGAGGATGCCATATGGATTAGGGAGACACAGTCATGGGGTTCAGGGTTTGTGTCAGGTATTAAGTGAGGCCAGGTTGAAATCTGGACCAGAGGCAATGGTAATTGCGGGGGTTTCGATGAATAATAAGTAGAGTTGGGGGGGCAGAAAGTATGTGTGCCAAGTGTGAGGAGGAAATTAGATTTTGAAAGTTATGAGAACTGTGGAGGGTAAGCGGAGCATAGCCTGTAATTGTAAGGGATTCCAGGAGTAAAACAGCAGTGGCTACCATGGGATGCAGGCATGTTGGCCAACCTAGAACTGTAAGATCAAGTTGTTCAGACAGAAAGGCTATGGGTCGTGGGCCTGGTTCTTGTGTAAGAACTCCAACTGCGCAGCCTTTCACTTCTGCTATGTGTAAAGAGAAGGCTTGGGAGGAGTTGGGAAGCACCAGTGTAGGAGCTGTTTCTAGGGCTTTTTTTCCAGGGAATGAAAAGAAGAATGAGGGAAGAATTTAGGGTCTATGGGGTTAGCTAAGTCTCCTTTTGAAAGCTTATAGAGTGGTTTTGCCAGTAAGGCAAAGCCTGGTATCCAGAAGCAGAAGTATCCTACCACGCCTAGGAAGGAGAGAAGCTGCTATTTAATAGAAGGAGTTGGGGGTCTGGAAGATCAACCAGACATGGTCAGCAGGGAGAGCATGTGTGTTCTGCTGGAGGATTATGCCAAGACAGGTGATGGATGGGGAAGAAATTTGGGCTTTGGAAGGGGATATGTGATACCCCTTTGAGTATAGTTGGTGAAGAAGAAGGAGAGTATCTTGCTGGGAAGATTTGTAAGAGGGACTGCAAAGAAGAAGGTTGTCCACGTATTGAATAAGGTGAGAAGCAGATGGACAGAAGGAAAGTAGATCCTGAGAAAGGGCTTGAATAAAGTAGTGAGGGCTATCTCTGAAGCTTGGGCAGAACGGTCCAGGTGAGTTGCTGAGACTGGTGGGTGTCAGGGTCAGTCCAGGTGAAGGTGAAAAGAGGCTGAGAGGAGGGGTGTAAAGGGATGGTGAAAAAGGCATCTTTGAGATCAAGAACAGAATAATGAGTTGTAGAAGAGGGTACTGAGGATAGGAGGGTGTAAGGGTTGGGTACAACAGGACGGATGGGAAGTACAATATGATCGATGGGGCGAAGGTCTTGGACTAGCCTATAGGATTTGTCTCATTTCTGGACAGGTAGGATAGGGAGTTGTAAGGAGAATCAGTAGGCTTTAAAATGCCATGTTGTAATAGGTGGGTGATAACAGGCTTTAGTCCCTTTAAAGCCTGTTGTGGGATGGGATACTGGCATTGAGCAGGGTAAGGGTAATTAGGTTTTAATGAGATGGGAAGGGGTGAATGATCTGTTGCTAAGGAATGAGTAGAGGTGTCCCATACACGTGGGTTGAGGTAGGGAGATGTGAGAGAAGGTTGCGAGGGAGTCTTTGAATCAGGCAAAAGGGCAGCTGTGAGATGTGGCTGTAGTGCAGGAATAGTCAGACAGATTCTTTAGTTAAAATGTTCTGGCCTAGTAGGGGAACTGGACAGGTAGGAATGACTAAGAAGGAGTGTATAAAAGAATGCTTTCCAATTTGGCACCAGAGTTGGGGAGTTTTAAGAGGTTTAGAGGCTTGGCTGTCAATACCCACAACAGTTATGGGGGCAAGGGGAATGGGCCCTTGAAAAGAAGGCAATGTGGAGTGGGTAGCCCCCGTATCGGTCAAGAAGGGGACAGACTTACCCTCCACTGTAAGAGTTACCCGAAGCTCGGCGTGATGGTGCAGGGGGCTTCCAAGACGATCAGGCAGCGTCAGTCTTCTGCCACTAAGCTGAGGAGATCAGGGAAAGAGTTAGCCTAAGGGATATGGGGTTGGGCTCCTAGAGCCTTAAGGACAGCAGTTTGAGTCTGGCAGTCTGACTTCCAGTGGGGTCCCACACAGATGGGACACAACTTAGGAGGAATCCAGGGCTGCTGGCATTCCTTGGCCCAGTAGCCAGTTTCTCTGCATTTGAAGCAAGGCTTTGCGGGAGGAGGTCCTGAAGAGAAGCCTGAACACTGTGGGTTTGGTTGTCTGAAACTTCTGCCAGCTGAAGGAGTGGCTGGGGTCTGTCTTACAGCGAAGGCAAGCATTTTTAATTCTGAAATATGTTGCTGCTTGGCAGCTTCTCCTTGGTTATTAAACACCTTAAAGGTGAGGTTGATTAGTTCCTGTTGTGGTGTTTGAGAGCCAGATTCTAGTTTTTGAAGTTTTTTCCTAATATCAGGGGAAGATTGGGTAATGAAATGCATATTAAGGATAAGACAGCCTTCTGGGTCTAAAGCAGTAAATTGTCTAAGGTTGGCTGCTAAGTGGGCCGTGAACGCAGCAGGGTTTTCATCTTTGCCTTGGGTGGTTTAAGTTTGTCATAGTTGACAGCTTTACGTGCTGATTTTTTTAGTCCTTCTACTAAGCATGAAATCACGTACTCTCACCTTCCTATACCAGGGGAACCTGCCTGGTACTCCCAGTCAGGCTCTTCCTGGGGAACTGCCCTGGAACCTTCCTGGAGAGTAGGCTATAGGTGCTGGCAATCATCAGTGTGAGACTGAGCCAGGTGTAAACTCTTTCTCACTCTTCTGGGGTGAGAGTGGAAGTCAGGATGACATTTAAGTCATTCCAGGTTAAACTATAAGACTGGGTCAAGTATTGGAATTCCTGTATGTATTTTGTTAGGGTCTAAGGAAAAGGAGGCTAATTGTTGGCTAATCTGAAAGAGGTCAGACAAGGAGATGGGAACATGGACTCTGACTATGCCTTCAGCTCCAGCCACCTCTCGAAGGGGGAACTGTTGGGCAGGCGGGGAAGGGCTATTCCCAGGGTCGAATTGCAAACCAGATCTAGTATGAGGTGGACTGGTACCAGGAGGGAGTTAGGGAGGCAGAGTGCTGACTGGAGAGGGGTTAGGTTGTGGGGAAGCATCAGGAATAGGAGGAGCGGGGAGAGGGTCAGGGCTGGCTTTTCCTTTAGAGATAGAGTATCTCTCTGTCTCTAAAGGAAAAGAGAGAGAAAGGGAGAGACTTGTCTCCTTTTCTCTAAAAGAAAAGAGAAAGAAGGGTGGACTGCTTACCCAATCTGAGGGTGGCGAGAGAGCTGTTCGGCAAGCTAAACGAGAGCTGCTGGCCTGATCTGATGTGTTGAGGTCTCGGTGGGTCTCTTCCTAGAGGGGGAGTGGCAACAGGAGTCTGGTCTCCCCAGAGGAGTACCCCTGTCCCGGGTTTCAGCACCAGATGTTAAACGCACACTCTGAATGAAGAGACCCCCTAAACAGGCTTTGTGTGAGCAGCATGGCTATTTAATCACCCAGGTGA